AGGCTGACCTGCTGTTTAGTAAGTCCCTCCAAGCTCAGTTAAAAACTTCAGTTTTCTTCTCCAAATTAGGTTTTCCTGAGTTAAGCAAGCATTGAAGCAAATCTGTTCACCTCTGTTTTTCTTTTTATGCTGCTCTTTCATTTCTGGACCTCCTGTAGGAATGACCACGTGCTTTGCTTTTCACTGATTCTGGGGTATCATAGTGAAATTCCTCAGTCACGTATCTCGTCGTGAGTCATAGTTAAGGATGGAGGAGCTTTTCCTCCCTGCCTATCTGCTGCTTCCCTGGCTTTCAGTAGAACCCCCCTTGTGAGCAGCGTAACGTAGGGCTGAACCCTTCTACTGAGCAGCACGGCGGGTTGTGGCTGAGTACTGACACCGTGACTGTGCAATGTGGGCTGGTGCAGCACACAGCTGTGATGACTCTGTTCCTTCACTGATCCAGTCCTTTTTCCAGCTTAGTTACGTTATTTTGGTTGTTTTGTTTTTTGACAGTAACACGATGTGCAAATGTAACGAGCTGAAACATGGAAGAGAAGAGCAAACCAAAACTGCTCTTGGTTGTGTCCAATGTGTAATTAAATGAGTACCTTGTATATTTTTAAGAGATTTGAAGTGGTCTCTGGATTGCTGCTCATCTCATTTCACACTGCCCTGCAGTGTTTTCATTTTCGGTGCCCTTTGGCTCTTGCTCTTAACTCTATTATACAGGCTCCACTTCAGATCTTCTTCCAAGGCCCTGCACCTGAACTGTTGTCTGGTGCAGAATCCCTTGAGTGCTTCTTAGCACTGGGTGTACAACATCCCCAAGTTCCTTCTCACCGCTGCAGTGCCGTCCTCAGGGAATTCCAGAGGCTTTGCTCAGTGTGACCTCTTCTGCCTCAGTCCAGCAGCATGGCCTCAAGCAAGCAGCTTTCTGCATTTTCATAGCATGTCATTCTTATGGCGTGTTGTTTCCAAAACTTCCTCTCCACAGTTGATTTTCAGCATTCTGGCTGTAGTGTTACCACTCTTCTCATGACCTGATTCAAAGTGACAGTAAAATGAACGCTTTTCTAGCACAGTTCACTGAAGATTAAGTCTGTATTGTAGGAATCTGAGCATGGGCCCATTTGTGTAACGCGTTGTTGTTGTGATGGACTAAGAGCTAAGATACTTTAAAAGACATAGGAGCTTTTGTATGTAAGAATTTGGTATGAATAATAAAGTTTCTGGCTTTTTTTACTCGGGGGATGCAGGTTTGTGGCATTCTTCCATTTTATGTTGGATGGTGCTTGTCTGAAAACTGCGATATGCTCATTTCTGGTTTGCAGATAAGGCATTTTTAGAGCAAGCTGACAATGCACCAAGGTCTCTGAAACCCTAAAGTTGTGGTTGGCATAAAGACAGTTTAGGAAATTAGGTCACCATTACCTCACTGTTCTGTTGTGTTTTTTGTTTAATTGTTTTCTAAATTTTAAATCCTGTCACGTCTCCTGTAGTTGCTACTGTTGCTGTTTCACCAGTAGAACCCAAGATGGATGGAATCCCAAGCTGGCAGCTTGAGGAAGCTTGAGCCTGAAGGCCTGAAGCTTCAGAGAGGTGACTTCACTGCATGAAGGCAGCACCAGGAGAGAAACAGCTGTGCAGTGTGATTTGGGAAGGGAACGTCTGAGTGCAAACTCATCTCTAACACTACAGCAATAGGTTAGATTTGGGATCAGAGTGTTTTGCATAGCTCCTGGTAGGAGTTGCTCTCTGGAGCCACAGCTCTGCAGTTATTTGCCCTCTGGAGATGCATATTTATTTGAATTAACTTCACAGGGAGCCTAGACAGTGCTAGCTGAGGCCTGGCTAGCTGACTGTTAGGTGTGTAAAACTAGGTGGCATAAATTTGCCCTCACAGCTATAAGCAGTGAGGTGAGAGTTAAGCTCACCCTGGGGAAAGACAAAGATGGGAACGCGTGCCCAAAACCAGCCTGGGATTTGAGTGTGGTGAGCACCTCTCTTGTGTTGGTAACTCTAAACGCAGCGGTTGCTTTGATTTACTGTTGGTTTGTCACAGTGATGATCTTTGTGGCATCATCCAGGGCACTGCCTGCTCTGAACAGTATGAGGAGTTGGACTTCATGCACACAACCACACAACCAGGGGTTGCATCCAAGATGGAGTTGGGGGTTAAAATGATGCTGTTCTGTGTTGTCTGAGATAGCAGAGAAAATGCAGTAAGTACACAGCCTGCTTGCTGGAGCAAAGTGCTGCAAGGGGCAGACAGATGGCTGGTGCTGGTATGGTGCACAGAGCTCCCAGCCAGAATCAGAGCTCTGAGGTCTGTTTTGAACTTTGTTAATATAAAACTCTCTCACTTCTCTGCTTTCTTAACTGCTATGACAAACCAAACTAACCAACCCTTCTGAAGCCCTAATGCTCCTTTTGCAGCTACTTCAGACGTCTGCCATCTCCCATTGTTTCTGTTCTGGTGATTTGGTCTGTGGACTTCAGTGAGCTTTCAGTGATGCTGTTGCTGCTGTTGTTTTTAAAGAAGCAATGCCCAAAGGGTTCCAGACTGAAAAGGGCTCACACTTGCATTGTGATCAGGAACAGGTCAGGGGTGTTCCTCATTCTCACTTGGCCCCAAGTATGAGGTGAGCTGCTTTTTGCAGGAGCAGACTGGCATCACACCCAGATGCCTTTGGTTCCCCCTTACTTGCCTTATTACTAATCCAGAAAGGAAAATTGGAGTGGTGGGGCTGGGTCATGTATTGTGCACCAAATAGCAGAAGAGATAAATGGGCAGGGCGCTGCAGGTGCAAACTTCTCTTCCTGCTGTTGCACATTTTTCTTATTCTGGATAAGTCAGAGCACCCTGGCCTCCGCTGGGGTCTGCAGGCACAGCTCTGATGCAAGAGGTAGCAGGAGGGCTGTCGGAACAGTGACTGTGGTGTTTTAAAGTAGCAGCTGAGCACAAATGTTTGCTGTTGGGCTTCTTGGGAGAAGGGGCAGAGGCAGATACAGCTCCCACATTGCTTCTGTTAGCTGGCTTCTGTTGTGAATGCTGAAACCTCAGGCTTCCTGTACTGACTGCAGATTTTCACCTCACTAGGGAATTTGCAATGCTTGGTTGTCGTACTGTAATACTTGAATAAACCTTCTTTTTGTCTCTGGGTGAGCACTTGCACTTCCCCCTCCTGCTCTGTGTGATTCTAGTCTTTCAACTGACTTTTGTCTCCAAAACTTCAGGGAGTGATGCACCAAAAGAAACACTGGTCGCTCCACCAGAGAAGAGTACCGTTCAGGAGGGAGAATATCCGATCCCTGAAGATGCCTGGTACACAGATGGGTCCAGCAAGGGCAACCCGAGTAAGTGGAGAACAATAGCGTACCATCCTGCCACCAAGACGATCTGGTTCGACGAGGGGGATGGTCAGAGCAGCCAATGGGCAGAACTGCGAGCTGTGTGGATGGTTATAACCAGGGGACCCGGTGATGGTATCCTGAACATCTGCACAGATAGTTGGGCTGTGTACCGGGGGCTCACTCTTTGCATTGCACAGTGGGCCACCCAGGAATGGACTATCCACCCCCACGATCTGGGACAAGGACATGTGGTTAGACATACTGAATGCAGTCAAACACAGGACTGTACGTGTCTACCATGTTTCTGGTCATCAGCCCAGTGGCGTGGCCTACTTGCACCTTGGGGGAGTGTCTCGCTCCAATTTATAGGAGGGAGAGGAGGTTCTTTTATTATCTATATACCCGGCGTGAGATTAAGAAGCAACGGTTCAAATGTTGGTCCAACCAGTTTATTACAAATCTTAATCAGGGGAACTGGGGGAGGGGAGAACGGACACTATTATGAATTAGGGTAATGGGGGAAGGGAAGGAGGGCAATAGAAAAGATAGGAAAGAAGAAGCAAGGGGTCTTTATAGGCAGCAAGAGGGAGATAGTCACCACCATGGATCCAGCGAGGTTCGTAGTTCAGTCTTTGATCTTCAGTAGCGGTGGGTCGTCAGGCAGAGTTGTCCTGTTGCCAACGACGACGACGACCATGGTGATGATGGCCCTTTTTCAATGCTTCAAAGTGGTTGAGTCAGCTATCTTTGGAGTGACAGCTCAAATCCAAAGTGGTCGAATCAGCTCTCCTTTGAGTGACAGATCAAACCCAAGGTGGTTGAGTCAGTTCTCCTTGCGGTGGCAGCTTCTGGCTCTGGGATCTCAGCAGGAACCTCCTTTGTTCTTATCTTTCTGGCCTTGCCAGCAGATAAGAGGAAGCAGGGAGGCACCAACTTGCATCTTGCCTTCGCAAGATACAATGGTATCATCCCCCAGCCTTCCATACTTAGCTGGAGCGGTTTGGCCACAGGTCAGATCTTCCGCCAGTGAACACTCCTGAGCACTCTCTTCCGCTCTTCTACAGAGCAAGCAGCTCTGGGGGAAGGGGCTTGCAAATGTTCCCAAAGTGATATCGGTTGTCACACAGTTAGCACCCATCAGTTGCCTCCTTGACAAGTCACTCAGAGTCTTATCACAAGAAAAACCTCAGGAAGCAAGCTTTGAGCCAAAAAAAACTAAGAAGGATTCTCACAGGGAGATTGTTGGAGGTGGGAGGCTCAGCAGTCCCTCCAGTAACAGGTACATGGCCTACTGATGTTGTGGTCAACACTCCGATCTTCATTGCTAAAGGGACCCCCATCATGTGCCTGTGGCAGATCAGGACACCTCCTTTGGTGCCTGATATTGTTATGCACCGCAGACATCCGTCCAGAAGCTGTGGTACAGGTGGCCAGGACGTGCCCAGTTCCAGCCCAAGTGTTGACCAAGGATAGAAATACAGCCTGTATCTCGCCCTGGAGAGCAGACCTTCCCCTCCTGGTACCCCGAAACATCTGTATTTCTCCCCATGAGTCTTTGAGCCTTCAGGATCACTGGAAGGAATGCAATGCCATCAATGCTACTGTCAGATCTCATGCAGCACTCGGGGATGGTCTGCATGGCACTGATGGAGCATAGGATGGACCTGCAGCTCACGGCCATGTGCCTCCAGTGACACCGTCGAGCTCTGGCCCATAACAGAATATCACCGTTCGCTGGCCGTCACTCGTCTTGAGTCGTACCAGCACGCATCACGATGCATCGGATCTCTGCCATAGAAAAGCTCACCCTGCAGTCAACTCGACATTGGCTCACGCCGTGAAGGCAGTTCACCTGTGCTGCTGGGAGGGGTGGAGCCTCTCCAGGATCCCACTGAAGTGCTGACTGCCCCTGGGGAAGGATCTCTTGCTGGAGATTACTGTCATGTTGAATATTGCGAGCCTACGACATCAGTAAGCATTTTCCACTTGTTATCTTTCTGTTGTGATGATCTTACTTAGCGTAAAACTCTGTGCACCAATTGATTTTGCACCTCTGTGCACTTACTGATTGTACACAACATACGCCCTATATTTTACTACAGCCTATGCAAGCCCCCCATAACTCCCCTACAGCCTTTTACAACCTTGTATCTCCCTATGTCCCTCCTCCACAGACCTGCATTGTGCCTGTTTCTCCACATGACACTTACGGCTTTCCCAATGCTCCCTGTCTCCCCGTATCCCTGTCTATCCCACCTATTTGCCCCCTATGGACATTTATGGCAGCATATTTTCTTATATCCTCCCCCAGTCACCTATATCCCTCCCCATAGCTCTCCCCAGATCCCTGTAGCCCCATATCGCCCTGTATCGCTTCAAAGCCATGTTATAACCCTGTATCTCACCAATATTCCCCCATCTCCACTTTAGCCCCCTATAGTCCCTGTATTTGGGCCTGTATCTGGACCGTTTAGCCCCACGTGCTTCCATAGTCCACCTTATACCCCCACATAGACCCCCATAGCCCCTCCCAAACCCCCCCAATGCTCCCTATAGGATTGGGGTGTGGGGGTACGGATATGGGATGAATATGGAATGGGAGATCAAAAAAATGGAATATATATGGGATGGCTATGGGAAGAATGTGGGATGGATTGGGGATGAAATATGGATACGGAATGGGACTGGGATGGTAATGGGATGGGATGAGGATGTGGAATAAGTATAAGTATATGGAATGGACATGTGTGGTGGACATGGCCTCGGTGCCAGCGCTGCTCCTCTCTCCTCCCACAGGCTCACGAGCAGGTTATGGAGAACCACAGAGCTGCAGCCAGGAAATTGCTGATGAAGGTGAGTGGATGCAGCGGCACGGGCTGGTGTGGGTGTGCAGGCACAACAGTGCTGCCCGTGGGATGTGGGGCAGGAGAAGTCCCCCCGTGTGGGTCTGCAGCTGCAGCTCTGTGGGCGCCAGTTGCCCTGATGGAGGAGGCGGAAGGGGACGGCGGCACGGAGCTGCTGTCGGACGGAGCTCCATGGGAACGCCGGTGCCCTGATGGCCGCTCCTCTTCTCCTTTCCTGCAGGAATCCCAGCAAGCACAGGGTGAAAGAGTGGCTGCCAGGAAATAGGAGCTGGAGCAGATAGGGTGAAGCAGGGGCGCGTCCTCAGAGCTCGGTGTCCTCACAGCTCTGGCTGTGAGGAGGACCTCAGTCCTGGTCCCTCGGGTCCATGGGTCCCAGCACAGCCATCCCACATGGTGCAGCCATTGTCTTGCTGTAGAAGCAGCTCATTGCCCAGCTGGAAAAGCAGCTGCAGACTGAGACCAAGGAGATCAAGGTAGTGTGGAGGGGTGAGGGGATCAGGGCTGCCCGCCCCCAGGCTGGGGACCTGGAGGAGGGCTGCAGCAGGCACGGGCACTCACACTTTTGTCTGCCAGGTGCTGCGCCAGGAGAAACAACGCCTGCAAGAGGAGCTGGAGGTGGAGAATGCCTGGTGAGTGGGACTGGGCCCTGCAGCCCCATTGTTGCCCTAGGTGCAGGCATGGGCTGCAGGGCCC